CTATTTAGGACCCAACGAATGAATGCCCTTCCCGTTTAGCAAGCTTCATTGTTTTGTGATGAAACTTGCCATTAATTTGGAAACAAACATTTATAAATCCCTATCCTTCCTACACCTCTCATTTAGCCTGTATAATGTGACGAAAGGATCTCTCACTCTGGCACCCAAATGCTTGCCTTAGCAGAATTTCAGTGTGGCAGTACCTTTAGAAAATCAGCCTTGTGCCAGTCCTGGATTTACAGAATTCTCCATTCTCTTGTTTTGGAACAGAAGGTGCCCCTCTGATTCCCCTCATTCTTTTCTCTTCTTTTTTTTCCTGGCACCGGGGGATCGACCTCAGGACATTGCCCTTGTGAGGCAGGTGCACTGCCACTGAGCTAAGTCCCCTCCTCCTTCCCCATTCTTTTATCCCTAAAACTATATGCAGTAGTCTCCCCTAGCCAGAGTTTCACTTCCCAAGGTTTTAGTCACCTATGATTGACTGTGGTCCAAAAGTATTAAATGAAAAATTCCAGAAATAAACAATTTATTGGTTTTAAATTTGTGCCATTCTCAGTAGCATGATGAAATGCCACCCCACCCCACTGCATCTTGCCCTGGACACATATCATCCCTTTGTCTGGCGCATCCACCTTATATCTGCTTCCCATTTGTTAGTCACCCAGCACCATCTAGGTTATTAGGTTGACTGGCACAGTGCTGCAGTGCTTATCTAATCCTTCTTTTACTTAATAATGGCCCCAAAGTGCATAAGTAGTGATGAAAGGAGGCACCAGGGCATAAAACACAGAAGGATGGATTAACTCTGGTGCTACGCAGCAACACTGCAGGGGATATAAGAATAAATACATATTGAGTATAGGGTTTGGTGCTCTCAGCAGTTTCAAGGATCCAGCAGAAGGAAAATGGCTTCTCTATTGGTATCATCTTGCTGTTTTATTTACTTAAACCAGGAATGACAAAATGATTTCATTACACATTTTCTCTCTTAATGATAAGAAACTCTGTGGATGTTATGTTGAGAAAGGATTTTGTGGTTCCATTTAGGGATAATGAAAGGATTCTGTGGTTGATTAGTGATGTCTACTGTGAGCATGGATATAGACAAGTGGTAAATATGCCATTTGGGACTCAGATCTTGTGAAGTATCAGCTTCACTTGTAGATGATGATACTAGCCCAACAGTTATATAGTGTATGCTATACACTGGGCTTTACATCTTCAGCTCATTTAACTCTCAAAGTAACCCACCAAGCAGGTGCAAATGAGGAAACATGGCATGCAGAAATTCTCACAAATGAGGACATGGAGGCACAACAAGCGTAAATGACTAAATCAAGTTCGGTTAGCCAGGACGAAGGAGAGGGTCAAAGCCAGGCAGTCTTGTACCAGAGCCCAGGCTTTCAGCCTTAGGCTCTCTTATCTTTTGCTTGCTAATGCTGTGCCTGCTGCCACAGGACTGGCATAAGACTCAGCGGCATTTCAGAAGAAAATGATAAAAGACAAGACAGGGAACCTCATCAGTGACAAGGGCAGCGAACCACCTTCCGCCTTCCTCTCCCATGTGGAACATGCCTAGTCCTCCCCTCCACCAGCATTGCCCACCTCTCACAGGAGGTAGACAGGAAAGGAAGAGGCATGGGCATTTAAGGACGAGAAAGGCACTTAGGGTAAGAAAGGCATTTAAGAGCTCTGGCCTCCAGGCCACTTGGCTGGGGAACTATTTCTGAGTGGCCGTTTTCAATGTTCATTTTTTTTTTTTGGTACGGGGATCAAACTCAGGACCTTGCATTTGCGAGGCAGGTGGCAGAACCGCTGAGCTAAATCCCCGGACCTTTCAATGTTCATTCTTATATGAGACACCTGTACATATAAAGATATATTACATATATTCATACACATAGAATGAGATTTGGGTCACAAGAGACCTCATATGCAGTAGTGGTTCCTTGAGATTACATTGTCTGGTGACTTCACAGATGTCTTAGTTTGTGTAGTGCATTCTATGATATTAGCATGATAATGAGAACCACCTAATGGCCCATTTCCCAACAAGTGTCCTGTCATTCTGTAACACATCACTGGGTGTATATATATTTTATAATGGTCAAAGACAGTCTTATAAATATCATTTTATAAATACCATTTACTTCACTTATTAACAAATCCTTACTGCATACCTGTTCCGTGTTGGTACAAGGCAGGGATGGTGGTATAGTGACCATAGGAAGTAATGGCTGCCCTCCCTGGGCTCACAGTCTAATGCTGGAGATGGTCCTTGTCGAAATAGGAACATGAGTATGATGTGCAGCCCTGGTGAATGGGCAGGGGAAAGGACCTTGGCCCAAGATTTCAGGGTGGCCTTAGTAGGGGGATGAGGGAGCCAAGTGGCCAGCCCATACATGTCCTTGAAGTCCATCCCAAAGAGTGTGACTCTAGCCCAGGAGTAGTGAGGAGCTATGGAAAGTAGGGGAGGCAGTTTGGGACTTTGTGCCATATAATTAGATTTTTTTCATGTGGAAAGGTAATTGTGGCTACATTGGGGAGAGTGAATTGGGAAAGGAATCTGGAAAGGTTATGAAGCAGTTGTAGGAGTCTAAACAAGGAGGTCAGGCTAGTTGGGACAAGGTAGTCTGGGTGGTGAAGAGAAGTGGGGGAGTCTAAAGATGTGTAGGAGATGAAAATGAGCTGGATCTGGGGACAGGTTAGTTGTGGGTAGTGAGGGAGAGGGGAGGGGAAGGGTGACTGGAAAGCGAGAGCATGGCGACCCTGTTTCCAAAGGTGGGGATGCGGGGGAGAAGCGGTGTGGAGCGAAGACCTCTCCTGGGCTGTGCAGTGGCCCGGAGATGTCAGGAGGGCTGCACTCTGCATCCAAAGGCGTCGTGTTTCACCCCATAGGTAACCTGGGAAACCACCTATGGTACTAAGGAAAACATGCAAAAGTCTCTGGTCTTGTTGATATTTAAAATTTACTCATATTTTCACTGTAGATAATAAGAATCTTAAGCAATGACAGAAGAAATGAATAAAAATAAATATCTTGTATGGTTTTCATTTTTGAATGTTTCTCCGCCAGTCTTGTCTTATAACATTCACATTTCAATGTTTTACCACAATCTCCATAAAAGATGTAATAGCATTATTTTTCCTCACTACTACCCCAAATATCTGACTACCTTTCTGTATATCTCTCAGTGTAGTATTTGAAGTATGTTGCATAGTATTCCATTCATTTGAGAAATCAAAACCTAATTTTCTAAGCGTTTAGTGGATTTTAAGATTTCATTATTGCAAGTAAGATCTTAAATGCACATTTCTATGTATGTCACTTTTTTCCCTTCTGTAACATCCCTACGGTTAAATTCTTCCAAGTGGGGTTAGTGGGTTAAAGAGGTTAGACAGGTTTCTGATCTTCAACGTGGGTAAAGGTAACATTTCAAAGTCCCTGATAGGTGCTGTGGGGCAGAGCATGGAGCAGAGTTCTGCCCCCTGCCAGGCAGCTTGGGGTTTTCCTGGGCACTCAGTGGGTAGTGGTCCTAACTGTGACAGTGAGTGTTGGACCAGAGAGTGCTGGACCGCCTGGGGCTCTCCACCGGGACTTGCTCATTGTGGCCAGTGGTGGCTGAGGACCACGATAAGGCTGCTGAGCTGCCAGCTTGCACTCTGAACCTGGGCTGGTGCCTTCCCTCTCCCAGTCCTCCTGTTATTAGAATAATGGCACAGTGACCTACGAACTGGTGGCAGCCTGTAAGGTCCGGTGGCCTTGGTGTGTGACCTAGTCACTAGTGAAATCTTGCGGGTCCTCCACACTTGCTGGGTGCTACACAGGCTGCCAAGGGTTCCTGTGGACTTGGACGAGGGCTCAAGGTCTGCTGTGATGGGGTCCTAGACTTTATTTGTCCTTAATTGCCACTGCTCCTCAATGTTGCACCTCCATGGCACCGAGGCTGACGGTCTCTGGACAGGAAGGTCCTCTGGCCCTCGCCTATGTATGTCCTCACCCTCAGGTGTACACTCTATATCTCCATGGAGAGTCCCCAGGAGCAGCTTCCTCATATTGTCCTGTACTCCTGCTCCCTACCTTGTGCCCCTCTGTCGTGGACACCACTGGCACCCTCTATCTGCACCCCAGGACCCAGCACCCAAGAATGAGCTTTCTGTTATGTTTGCTTGAAAATGTTTGTCTCTCAAGGATAATTGTGCTGTCTGTGAAGGCAAGAACCTTACCATACTCCCCCACCTGCCTTCGGGGCAGTCCTTTGGTGCTCAGCCCTTTGCCAGACCTCAACGAAGCTAATGTGACCATTGAATAGCAGAGCCTGGATCCTTGACCTGGGGCCAAGCACACTGGCTCTTCCTCTCACATATTTCCTACATAAGTGCTCATTTTCAGAAACTGCCCAGGATATGACTAAAGGACTCCTGAAGGGAGCGCATTACCAGTGCTATCAGATTGGGGGCATGAAAATGAGTTAATGCTGGAAACCCCTAAACCGGCCAGTCCTTAATGTGAACTGGGACAGGAAGGATGGCTGGTGGTGGTGACCTGGGGGATAATGGGACAGTGGGAAGTGCAGGAATAGCCATCTGGCCCTTAAGGAGGCCTTTGGCTCCCAGGAACAGTGATGGGATTACCTGCCCCTTTTACTTCTCACCTAAATATAGATTGCATCAATGTTCTGATGGTGAGAGTGGTCAGGGGGAAGCTACTCGTTCAGCCCGGCTCCTCTTATTCTCCAAGGATGGCCTGCAGGGGACCCGCAGCCGATGGGCTGTGCAGCCTAGAGGAGCTTGTTGGTGTTTGCAAAACAACCTACCTGAACTAGAGCATCTCTCTCCTGTAACTGAGATTAAAAATCAGATCATCCAGACTCTTAGGGGAGTGAGCTTTGGTGCATTTGTAACTCAAAATGAGAAATAGGCACATTGACACATTTAATGACATGTGTTAGTATGTGTGTAGAGCTTTACAGTTAACTTGCATTTCTTTCTTTTTCTAGCCAAACATCATGTCAATGGCAACAGAACAGTTCAACCTTTCCCAGAGGGAACACAGATGGCTGTGTTTGGTAAGATATCAACTCTGAAAGAAAACCCAAATTGTGTGCAAGCCTACTGCCAACTTTCTTAGTTTTAGCAAGTGTCCTCAGGACTTCAAAATCTGGGCTCTTCTAGATATTTACAAGTCATTACAGCCAAGAAAACTCTCTGTTCTTAGTAATTTCTGGGATTGGGGTCTTATTCTATAGATTCTAATGTGCTTTCTTTTCTCACTTTGACAACTCAAATATCAAACTGTGTATTTGCTATTTCTTTTGTCCTCACTGTGAATTAACCTACTAATTTGAGTTTTCCTTTGCTGGGAGGAATTTTTTTTACATTGATATATAACTTTAAAAGTCTGGGATTCAAGCAAGTAGTTTTCAGTTATTTTTCCACAAAAATCAATCTAATTAGATGACCTTCTTCTTTGCCCTCAACTGAACACATTCCTTAGAAGAAAACATTAATTAAAATGTTTTAAGTAGGACAAAGACCAATCTCTGTATACCTAAAGTATACAATTATGAGGCTGAACAGAACTTCCAGTTAAATTCCAAATCCTTGATGAAGAAATCCTTCTAGGGCCTGGGGTGTAGAGCAGTGGTGGAGCACCTGTCTAGCATGCATGAGGCCTTGGATTCCATCCCCAGCACTAAAAAAAAAGTCCAAGTCCACGTGTCCTTACCCTATAGCAAACGTCTCCTGCACTTTCTTCCAAATGTCTCTGTGTCTGGCACTTGCTTTGCCTGCTTCCTTCCTCTCTCTGTCCCTCCTGTTCTTCCTCCTCCTCTTCCTCGTGTCAGTTTGCTTTGTGTCTCTCCCTCCTCCTTTCTCTAGTAATGCCGTGGAGTCTCCCCAACTGGACATTCTACTGTCTCCCCTGGTTTGTTTCCCTCAGCCTTTACATAAGTACTGTGATTTGTTATGTTCTAGAATCTTGAGGTGGCCGGGTTCACAGCTCTTCTGGTTTTGTCCCGTGGGGGTCTTGATGGTGTTCTCCAGAGGAATGGAACTGATTGGAAGCCCTGAGTGTGCTTGCCCTGGAGGTCAACCTCAAAACAAGCCAGGTCCTAATCAGCACATTCAGGGTAAACTGTTCCCATCATCCCTAGATGGAGCCAATGTAGTCATCAGTGAGGATGAACTGTTGGAGAATTAAGAAACAGGGGCCTGATTTTACCCAACTTGGTAAATCTTGTTCTGGATGAGCTATCACATTTTAAAATGCTTCAGTTGGTAATTAGAAGTCACTACGCTCAGACATTTAGGTGGATAATTTGATTTCATATAAAGCATCATGGACACTCTAAAATGTGTGCTAAAATAACTGATTTGTTCACTTTCTTGTCCTGTAGTTTTGGTTACCATGGGATACAAATGCCACACATGTCAATATCCAAAGTGTTCTTTGGATGATTTTTTCAGTCTCTCAGTTTTGCCAACCCCACACGTGCTAAAAACTAGGTCCCAAGCTTTGTTGGGAAGTGGCAAGTGACACTGACCCACCATAGGGCCCTCCACTGCCGTATTGGCAGAAATTTCCCTCACGGAGGACAGACTCAGCACCAGATGGGTTGATGTCGTGCTCTGGCTACAGAATCTGAAATATCATGGAATAAACCTCTGTGGCAAGACTTTTTTCTTCTCACCAGTTTGGCTTATAGAGGCTCACTAAAATTCCAAACTGAAGGTTTGCATGCTTTGACTTTGATAAACAACTCCCCCCAACCCAAGGCCTCTGTTTTCTGGTGCAAAGACTGTTGGTGAGCACAGGTCCTTTCCAGGCCTGGGCCTTTGCTCTACTGGTTCCCTTTGGGGACCAAAGATGCACTGGGCAGAGAAAGCCCTGGGAAGACCCCCAGGAATGGCCATCGTGTGACTTGTGATCAGCTGAGGCAGGCGTAAAGTTCCTCCAAGTTAACGGCACATAGAGGGCAGAGTTATACAGATCACAGAGTGAATAATTCTTTCTTTAGAATTCCAGTTTGGATCTTCCAGATGCTTAAATTAAGGTCCCTATTTTGGCTAAGGATATGAAAGCATGTCCTATTAATGTTTCCAGAGCTGTCCTTTTTGTGTCATTTGTCCACCTGGTCTCCAGTGGAGTGAGGGGTGGATGGCTTTTGGAGAGGGCTCTGTCATGCTTGGTTGTTTATAGCTGCACTGAAAAGGTCAAACTAAGACTCTTTGAGCTATATGGGGCATTTACTCCTGCCAGCACCTGGAAAGGCTGATGGACTTATGTAATCCTGTTCTCAGAGAGATCATCTGACTTATCCAGAGTCACTGGGCCGGTAAAGCTAGAGTTTGAGCCCAGAATCCATGTTCTTTTCTGATGTTCCCTCTCTCTGCACCCTGGGAGGGCCGGTAGATTCAGAAATGCCTTTCAGTTGGCTACATACACAAAGCATGATTTACAGCCAAGCCAATTTAGCAAATTGATTTGTCAACTCCTATGCATTCTCAGAGTGCTCTGAAGGACTCTTGAGATGCAGCTTTTGCTGGGAAAATATTGCTTGGAGTGACGTCTCTTATGATTACCATTTCCCCATCTGATTTTAGGAGCAAATGTGAATATACAGAAGCTTATCCTATATCTTCTTGACTGTGAGTTAACCAGAGCAATGATGGTACTTTGTACTTGTCCAGACTCCTTCTTCAGCCTTGGAGGCCTTGATATTTTATGCCAAAATAGTATCACCAATTATAACTTCCTTATCTGGTGGCTAATTATTTTAATGCACCTAATAGAATGCTGTCTAAATAGGAACTTTTAGATTTAATCCACTCTGCAGGTGACCTTGGGCTGCCATTAGGCTCTTAGATGCAGTGCAGGATGTAAGGAAGGACAGAGATCGTGAGGGATCAAGGCACATTCCAGGGTGTAGTACATGACATCCTATTATATCAAGTGATCAGAGAATATATAGATAGTTCCTTAAAAACGGTTCTGGGCATATAGTCTTTACAGATTATTTTTAGCTCAAGACATTTCAGTTCTTTCAGGCTTTCTTTTGTAGTCCATTAGTGAGCTTTCTCAGGATCTTGCTTTTCGGCCATCGAGTTCTTCAGCTCCTTTGTTGCTCTTCCCTGGGTTGCACTTTGGCACAATGCTAATGAAGGCAGTGGCCCTTTCTCCTGGTGGGCCCTGCCTGCCTGCCTGTGATGCTCCCTTTCAAGTCAGCAGGGGCCCTTTCCTCACAAGCTGGAAAGCAGAACTGGACATTTCCCGGTTGCTTAGTGTCTGTGTTCCGAGTGCCTCAGAGTAACCTCTGGCCATCGTCCCTTTAGACCTCACATCAGCCCTGTGAAGTAGGCCCCATGGTGTTCTTTTATAGGCAGAGAAACTGAGGCACTGAGGATTAAAGAAATATGGTCAAGTAGAGGGGGGCTTTCTCCTGTATGATAACATCTTTTGCCAACATGCTGTGGCTGTCTTAGGAAGGTGCTCTGCAGCTCCCGAGATCTTAATGAAAGTGACATAGGTTTCCAGTGGGCCACTCTGTGCATGCAGAGAGCCAGGCTGTAGCCTCCCTGGGGAGGGGACACAAGACTAGAGAGAAGAAGCTGGGTTAGGGCTGCTCTAAGCTGCTCTGGTCTTGTTTCTGCTTTCTGTTCTCGTCAGCTTGCATCGTATTGTCTCACAGGAGATGAAGACCCAGAGCCAGGGCTCTCGACATCGTCTCTGATAATTCCCAACTAATATAGAAATAGAGGCAAATAGCTTAAAGAGCCTTTCTCTCAATTAATGAGATTTTACTATGTGTCAGAATGTCAAGACTTTTTTTCTTAAAAAACAAACAAACAAACAAACAAACAACTTTGAACTTCTTCTACCCTGTCATTTAGAAACCCCTATCCAGGGGCTGGGGCTGCAGCTCAGTGGGAGAGCACTTGCTTGGCATGCATGAGGCCTTGGGTTCTAATCCTTGGTACTGTGAACCCAAAGCAAAAATAAAAACATCCAGGTTGTTTGGTGAAAGCTAAGATTCTGCAAGGAAAACTGCCTTAAAATTCAGAAATTGATGCCTAGCAACAGCAGCCAAAGGCCTCTGTGAATTCCCCTGTGGGTGTTTAGGCTCCCAATATCCTGACAGTAACACTGTGACCACAAACCACTGAAAATCCCGTTTTCTGCATCCGGTTCTCTTGTGCATTCAGACTAGGGGAGCAGAAGTCAGCCCACAGCACCAGGTCACGTGCTGATAGCTTTATCGCACACTGCTGCTGGCAGCCCAGGGACATGGAAGAGCTGATGGCTGAGGGGGGGCATTTTCGGTCAAGGGCCCCCAGGCACGGCCCCCTTGGGGGTGAGGGGGCTCACCTTTGACACTTCAAGGAGAAAGAGATCAATGTCTGTATGATGAACTGGTCACAAGAACAATTTTTTCCCTGCCTTGAACTGGAGGTGATTTTTGAAACAGCCCCAGTTGTTCACCAGCCAAGAAAACCGCCTTGGAAGCAGCAGGCAATATGTCAGACTTCAAAGGAAAATATATTGGTCTCATTGGCTCTCATCCAACATTACGTTGGTAAATAATCGCATCCCAGTGTGGCATATTTCTCCCTGAGCCTTGACTGAAAGCTACTGAAGCCCGTTCTGCAAGTCGAGGAGTGCTAGTCACTCATTCCAGGAAAAAGGCCAGGAAGAATGGCTCTGAAATGTGCTTGTAATTAACCAAACAACCTAAAGTCCCTAGTTTGTTAGAACAGCAGGCTGCTAACTGGTGCTAACTTAAGGCACTTGGGGAAACAGAAATAGCCTTTCACAGGGTCGTGTGATGTGCCTTGGGACATTGGAGACATTTTAGATATTTTAGACACATTTAATATACCTTCTTTGTGTGTGTGATGCTCTTCTCTTTCATTTTATTCTCTGGTGCCAGGAGTTTTTTGTTTTTTGTTTGTTTTTCTCTGGTACCAGGGATCGAACTCAGGTCCTTGTGCTTGCGCAGCAGGCGATGAAACCACTGAGCTAAATCCCTGGCCCAGTGCCAAGAGTTTAGTGATACAGGGAAGGGGAAAA